GTTCCCAATTCAACAGGCGTCAATTCAACTGCTTGGGAGTGCTTCCTGTTGCTGTTTGCAGGTACCATCCCCTCCAAATGAAATACTAAAGGCAGCCACAACAAAAGGTCTGTTTCAGAGTTTGCCTTTTCTTATTTCCTGACCAGGAAAAGGGATTGTGACCATTAAAGGCTTCATGTAAAGTTTTGCCTCACCACAGCACAAGCACCAGCTTTTAAAATGTCACCAGCATGCCAGTACTCACTTCACTAACTATTTATCTAGAAAAATGCATGCCAGATATATGGACATACTTGCTCTGCTAAATTAAGTAGCAGTGCAGGTAATGACCTGAGATTCTATGAGCATACTGATCAGCTAGAGCAGTGATGGCAAACCTATGGTTAGTGTACCGCAGCGGCCACGCAGAACCCTCTCTGTCAGCATGAGAGCCAAGTCTCCCCAGCATCGCCCCAGCAGCTGAGCATCAGATAACAGTGCACATAGGGACCATGCGCATGCTCCGAAAGGCGTAGCAGCACCAAGCGATGACATCACGAGCCATGACTCGTTCAAGCTTTCACATGGCTGGTCAGTGCACTGCCAAGGACATATATATGGACTGACTGTGAGCTGTTTTTTCTAAACTAAAACCTCAGTATTCAGGTTTTATTGCAGTGTTGGCACTTTGTGAGAAGTGGGTTTGGGGTTGCAGTTTGGGCACTTGGTCTCTAAAAGGTTCACCATCACTGAGCTAGAGGAATCTGTTTATGAACATAATGAAAACATTGTTGAGCCATCTACAGGCCTGACCTTTCAGGCCTGCAGGAGCTTAAAGAGACAGTAAGACATTCTCTGAACAGGCCACTTTCAAGCACTGAATTTTATTACATTTCCTGTGTTTAGGGTTCTTACTACATCTCATTGCACTAGTGATGTGCCCTTCTGTGAAAAAAATGTATATTCATGACTAAGAACTGGAGGACTCTAACCCCTCCATGGCTATCACAACCAGTCTTGCTAGTTATTAAAGTTTTTTTTTAAAAAAATCTGTTTATGATTTAAAGTACAAGATTTTATGAAGGATGGCTTGGTTATTAATTAGCAATCACAGAAATGTCTATTTTTCATATGCAATTATGAACTTGTAAACTGTTAGTTATTAACGTTATTTGACTTTTTTGTTACTTCTCTGGTTACTTTTACTATTTAAACAACTTTGATAACTTGAATGGGAATTTTTTCAGGTTCTATGCTATAAACTAGTTATATCTCCAAATGAAACTTGTAATGATAACCAAGCTACTAAATAGGAATCAGTATCATTGTGGATGGGAATCCAAGGAACCATTTTAGTCAGCTTCATATTTTTCTTTCACTGTGCTGCAGTGGAAGGACCAGTCTATAAAACTGGGCCAGTCTATAAAACTGTGCAGGGATACATAGTAGGAAAGATGGTCCTAGAAGCCCCTCTATAAATGATAGTAGAACATGCAGCTCTTTGGACTAGGCCAATGTGTTGTAATCCAATGGGCTGTTATTAAAATACAGGAATCTTTGGCACAAAACAGTGAAAGTAAATGCAGTTAAGTCTCTGTGAAAACAATGGGATTTTAGTTCTTAGCTGTGTGACGACACAGGACATTTCAATGTACTGTGTATCAGCAAACCTGCATTTGCTACTTGAATATACACTCCAAAGAGAACCCAATCAAGCTCAACTCTTATGAGTGCACCAAAACAACACACATATCACCAAACAAGTGTTTTAGCATATTTTTAGATATACAACTCCTGTAAGCAAGATAATCACTGACTTCAACTATACTTAAGGTCAAATTACATGTTAGGGAGAATCTCATATTAGGAAGAAATCTCATATAAGTAGCTGCCTTATATTGAATTAAATTTCTGATCAGTCTAGCTCAGTACTGTCTACATCAGTGGTTCCCAAACTTTTCTATGTCCCATAGCCCTAGAAAATGTTTGATTTATATTCACAGCCCCTACAAAAGTAATATTGCGTTTGAAGATAAAGTCAAATTTCTAATTTTTGAACCCAAATTGAACTACATACAGTACTATGGGGGAACAAATTGAACTAACAAAAAAAGCGTTTACCTCAATGCATAAAATTAAAATTGAAAAATTGTGAACAGTAAAATCAATTCCAATTGTGAACATAAAATTCAATGACTTCTTTGTTCCTGCTTCTCATTCACAGTTTTGTCAAAATATGGCACATTCTTGCAGATTGCAATCCACAAGTCTGCCTGTGAATTCAGGTGATTCCTAGACTTTGTCTTGGTTGACAAACAAGTACTAAAACCAAATGCAAACAAAATAATAAATTTCATTATTGGGATAATCTGGGGCAAAAAATGTCAGAGCCTTCTTCTTTGTCACACCCTGTAAAATGCCATCTTGCACCCCCTGGGAGTGCAGGCATTCCAGGTTTAGAGCCCCTGGTCTACACACTGAAGCCGTTCATTCACATGACACATCACATATGAGGCATGTGCAGCTGCTATTTTGAATATGCAATCACTCTGCTTGTGGGCAGTCATGCTGTGCAAACTCGGTGAGCATGGGTTATGCCAGGGTTAAATATATATCTCATGATCCATGCTTTGTTTTAACCCTCACATACTCGACACCAGCAAGGTTCACATGACCTGATAGGCTCCAAGCAGAAGAAGTTGCATATTCAGTGTGGCCCTCACAACTTATTGTGGCATAAATAATCTGTAAGAAGCCATGTCAGGCTGACCAAATTAGGCCACTGACTGACAACAACTCTACAATGTTTTGGACATAGCTTCTTTCCCAGCTCTACCTGGAGATGACAGGGACTGAACTTGGACCATTTTCATGTAAAGTATATGTGGTTTCCTACTGACATCGTTTTTGGTTTCAAACAATAATCATAGGTCCCCTAGCTTTGATGGAATCCATAGATAGAGGAAGTAAAATTATTTGCCCTTAAGCCACAGCCTAAATCCAAATTATTCCACAAAGATGCTGCTAAACCACAAATGAGATAAAAAATTTTCCTTTGTGGTTAACACTAGCACTTGCTCACTTGCTCGTTCTCTCTCTCTCTCTCTCTCTCTCTCTCTGTGTGTGTGTGTGTGTGTGTGTGTGTGTGTGTGTGTGTGTGTGTGTGTGAGAGAGAGAGAGAGAGAGAGAGAGAGAGAGAGAGAGAGAGAGAGAGAGATCAGGGTCATGGCATGACATGACATGAAGAGATAAGCACCCCATCTCCATGCCAAGGCACTGATCCAAACCAAACACCTCACAGTGGTTTTCATTGCAGAAAAAGAGGTCAAGAATTCCAGTCATGAAACTCCTATCTCATGTGTAATTGGACCCCTTCTTTTTTGTGAGTGTTCTCATAGTTGTGCCTCAGGGCTTAGAAAAATAGGTAAAGCAGCACAGGTATAGAGGGAGCACTCATTCCTAGCAGAGCCAGCAGAATTATTCATCTGGCTTAATGATCACAGAGCCCATGGCCATTATAAAAATATATACAAATCCATCACATAGAAATGAACCCACCCATTACAAACATGCATGAGCACCTAGATAACTTTCAACAGGAGCTTCTGAAATTTTAACATATGACTAAAAATAGGCCCCCTGTTGCACATATAATACACACCCTATTTCCAAATATCTGAAGTTTCAGTTTTTATAGACCTGCAGAACTGGTTTCTATATTATACTTTCCTGAAAAGAATCTACAGGGCTACAAAAACAGTAACTATGAAAACTATTTTACGATATAGTATGTATGTTTATTGAAATTAAAAGACAGTGTAAAAACCCATTTAAAATGTTTACAGGGAAAGCAGGGACTGAAGTTTTAAGATTTTGTCTACTAATTCAAAAATTTAAATAGGAACATTTTTTGAAATATTAGCCAGATGTGCAAACTTAATTGCACTGATATCAATAGCCATATCTAGACTGGGAGTAAGTCTGACTGAACTCAATGTGCTTTTCTTCTACACAGCTATGTTTAGGATTGCATAAAGACAAATCCTGCTGATTAAGGCAACCTTCCCCAAACCTGGTGCCCTCCCAATACTTTGCACTCAGCTCCCATTAGTTCCACCTTCATGCCCAATGATCAGGTATGCTAAGCATTATAGTTCAAAATATCTGAAAGGGAAGAGTGCACTGAGTTAAAGAGAATTGAGTTTAGTGGGAATTCCAATGCATGAAAGTCTATGCAGAAACAAAACACATTGAGTTCAATGGTGCTTACTCCCAGTTAAGTGTGCACAGGACTAGACCTCATTTCCAAATTAACTTATTTAAGATTAGAATGTAATGGGTAGGTGGACGGGCACAGCATCGTTGCTTTATGTACCACTGATGAATGCATTGCCCACAATCAAACCTCACAGATTTAAGTGAGACAGTAGAAGTGTTAGCTGGCAGTCCACAAGGCAATGGCTGCACAAGTGCACTCTTAACTTTAACAAGGATATTCTTTGCTATGAATTCCAGCCCTGGCAATGATGGCATATAGGATTTTTCAAAAATATTTTTTTAGAGTTAAAAATTTATGTTTGTTGCTTTTGTGGCTTAAAAAGCATTTAAACTGGATATTGAAGCACTTTTTAAAAAGATGACAGTACAAATTAAATTTTCTATTTAGGGACCAGTATGAATTGCTACATCACAGCTGGGGTGTATGTCTGCCACGATATTTACTTACACCACACAAAAAATAAACTGTAGATAACCAAATTTGTAAAGGAATTGGCAGAACTAATCAATTGTTATTGCAAAGCTTGTTTGAAGATTAGATATTTAGCTTTGAAATAATAATAAAATATAGCTAAGTAGGTTGAGAAAAGGAAACAAGTGTCTCCCTAAGTTACAGCTGATTACACTGCAAGCCTACCACTCTGTGTTTACACTAAGGCAGATGTACTGATATAATAAAAGACACTGAAGTTATTTTAGTCATGCCTACTTTGCACAGAGGGAAAAAAAGCTTGACCTTTTACCTTGCTCACTGCTGTTGTCTCCACTCTGGGAAGCATGGCCCCCACTGGAAGGCCCCGGTGTGCCTGCTGAGTGCGTTGAAGTTGCATCATCGTGGTCTCTCCAAGAGGAAGGATTCTGGTGTCAGAATGTCGTATTTTTGCCCCACAGTTATCATTCCAATAGCAAATCGAGAAGGGGGGAAGCCAGAAAAAAAGTAGGCAAATTAGCATTTGCAAAAATTCCGGAAATGCAAGACTGTTTAGAGGCAGAGGATATACTAAAGTTGCACTCTATACCATTTACATGGGAAAGCCCTGTTGAACTCAACTGGAGCTGATTTGGGAGACATAGACTTGTGCTGTAATACACCAATTCTAGATATATTGAAGCTACATTAAATTCAATGTAGTTTAGTCCAAACTGAAGCAGCTCAAAGGCTTCAGCTTTTTAAATATATATTCACCACCAACCTTTTTGAAGTCTTAGTAATGCATCAGGAAAATGCTTTGATAAACTTTGAAAGCTATTTTAACACCTTACACTTTAATTTGCGGTTTGGACAGTGTAATTCTATACATGTCTACTCAAAGGTAAGCTATGCTGAATGTATTCAACTGAACTTATTCCCAAGAAACTGACTGCAGCCTTGATTCTGATAATCATGTAATATTATAGGCATGAAGGTGCTACTGTCCTTCTCTCTGGTTCCCAATACACAACCTTCAGCCAGTTTTTCACATATTTGGAGAGAAGTTAATTGATTACTGTGCACAAGAATAACGCACTAAGCAAATGTATCCTGGCTAGGGGATATAATGTTATCTCTTTTAAATGTAAGTTCTAGATTGTCCAGGATATCCCCTAGGTAATTACCTATATATGTGACAATATTATTCTTTCTAACCTTAATATAATAAAATAATGCATGAGGTAATTATGGGAGACTTAGTGAACTTTTGCTAGCTGAGTCTTCTTTTCTAGTAGTTTAGTTACATAACTCCTGATTATTTTAAATTGATTGAATATTGGTTTCCTGGAGAAAAGAGCTATTGCTTAAGAGCTGCATATGAAGAAAACTGAAAGTTAAGCTAAGTGCTACTTTGCTAAGTGTATTCTCCTCCTGGTCCTCCTCCCCTTTCCTGATCATTCCCAATACCCTGCTGTTGCTTAAAGGAAAACAGGAATTCTACTGTACAGGAAAAGCTTTATCAGCACCACATGAAGGCAGGCAAGAGATGGAATTTCCTCTGGCAGAAAAGGAGAGCAAGAACACATGCAATAGATCAGACTTGGGGCTGGACTTGCATTACTCGTCACCTATAGATGACAACTTAAATTAAACACATCCTAACAAGAAACATTTTGGTAAAATAATCTGTGTTCAGGAAAATAGCACAAACCCCAAGCTATTCCAACATAAATAGTACACTTGATGATTTACTATAAAAGGTTGTGTGTAGTAAATCATACAAACACCACACACTATGAATCCTCATTACACCTGCCATTATCTGTCAATTGTGAGTCTACAAAAGACAACACAGTGATCAAAATCTGGCTGTCTCAATGCTCACCCAAAATGTTGTCATTCCTAAGGTAGACAAGACAAGGCAAAGGCACATCCTGCACAATATAGAGGTGGACAAACACCCGCTTCCGCAAACTAGCTATACAAGTGGACAAACTCCCAATATATTAAACAACCATTTTCTTCCTTTTAGCAGCCCCTCGAATGAGAAAAGTAACTAATTGCATTGCTGGAGTTGAGTCATGCACAGACACTGTCTCAAAGTCTCATCTGCAGTGTCCTATGAGTGACACTCTTGTTGTACAACATTAGGTAAACCTACATAATCACATTTCGCAATCAAACCCAAACTAAACCAGTGTGGTTATATCCCACAGTCTATAGGAATCCATGCAAGTCTCGAACAACAAAATATAAAGAGATGCAGCCTGTGAATAATGATCATACCAACTACTTACTTAGATCAGTGGAGTATCTGTGAAATAAAATCAGACCTAGAATGCATTTAGACTGCAATCCTGAACACATTTATCTGACAGTAAATCCCACTGAACTCAATGGGATTTACTTCAGGGAAGGTATGTATTGGATTGCACTGTACAAGTGCACATTTCATTCAAACTAGACCATATATTTTTGACTGAAGCAATTTCAGAAAGACTAAAAACCATAATAAAATAACACATTATTGCTAAAATCAGTACTCCAAATAATGCAACTTCAGGTTAATTATTCTTCTCCCAACAATAAGCAAAAGTAATACCATCATTTTGTGAAGTCAATTGGATATAAAGCAAAAACAAGAAAAAAAATGAAAGAGCCAAAAACACTATCTACAGATACACACACACAGATATATATAAATTAAATCAGCACTAAGGATGCAATTTCAAGGAAACTCATATGGAAATAAAATGCCACGATCAAGCAAGTTTCTGTGCAGTCTCGATTAAACGGATTGTGCATGTGAGCTCCCCTTTTTATCTCTGAGTTAGGAAACCACTCAAATAGCTTCAAGCTGAAGGCAAACAGCAGACAGGAGCACTTCAGCCCTCTGCAGCCTCTTAGCGTCAGCTGTTTGCCGGATGGTAATCAGATAAAGAGCTAAAAGAAATACATGAAAAGGAGGAAAAACAATAGCATGGCATGAGTTTAGTCCTCTAACATCATACTGGAACCTACTTTTAGCAACTGCAATATGTTCACCTAGGCTAAACTTTTCAAGGAGTATAGCAAGTTATGTTAATTCTATGCACTGCAGGGTCTCTTAGGCCTGTTGCTGTTAAAGCCGGTTCATTCACATATGAACATTTCAATAATTAACAAGGACTGCCTCAGCTACATTGTAAGGGAAATGTCAACCAACACCTATCATACAGTATTTCAAAACCAGGCCAGTCTTTCTTTTTTAAAGTCATAAATGGATTGGGATAGATCACTGACTGAGACTTCCAGCTGCTGAAAACACTTGGTCTCTTTGCCAGCCTTTCTTGCACTTCACCTCAGCTGTCAATTCTAGACCAGTTTACTATAGATTAAATATTCTGTATTGCTTGCACTACAGTTTTCTTGATGATAATCCGGCACTATTGCGGGGGTGGGAGTGGGGGAGATAAAATGGAAAAGATGTTCCAAAAGATACAGGGTGGGATCCAGATTTGGAAGAACAACACTAATGGAAGAAGTCTTCCTTATTCTGCCCTCCAGTCTCCCAAAAATACTACACTGGATCAAGCAGCCCTGTTGAATGAAGTTAGATGTAGTGTGAGAAGAGAAAGCATCCTCTTCAAAATTAGGTATAGGAATGCTCCACAAGTGGTACATTTCCTTTCACAGAAGGCTGACCAAGGGTCTATCATGTCTAAGATTCTGTTTACACAGTGGTCAACTGGCTGCCTATGGAAAACCACATGGGACCACATGGGACATGGGAAAACCACATGGGACATGAGTCCCACCAACCTCCCACTCATATTTCTCAGCAACCAATATAGAAAGGCATTCCACCTCAGATACGGGAGGTAATTCATAGCCATCATGAGTAGTAACCACTGTTCCCTTATCCTCAAAATATTGGCCCAATCATCTTTTAAAGCCATCCAAATTGGCAGCCTTCTCTACATAATGTGCTAGGAAATTTTATAAATTAGCTATATGCTTTGTGAAGTGACGCTTTCCTTTTATCTGTCCTGAATGTTTCCTGGAACCAATCCACAGTAAGTATGTGAAATGTTAAAAATGGGGAACAACTACTCTTAACATTCTAAAAGCTTGCATATGGCACCATATTGTGTTTATTCCACTTTAGAATGAAATATATCTACCTGTAATTGAACTACTTCCCACCATCACAGCAACATGGCCAATCATCTTTAATCATTCATGGGTACGGTAACCAAACTGGCAACAAAATAAAAAATGGAGCATATATCTTATGAAGAATATACTCCATTTAATTCATTACATGTATTAGAACTTAATCCAGAGTTAGTGGAGATTTCCACTTTGTGTGCTTTACATTGTACATAGATAAATATCTATGGTATTTATAACTAGATGTAGACATTGCTACACTTGGTTTTTAGAGAAAATAATTGTGTCCTGTCTTGTTTTATATCCTTCTTTCAGATCTGCTAGTGAGCTCCTCTTAATTATTCTACATGTGACCTAAAAACCACATTGGGCACAATCCTATGCATGTTCTGATAGAAAAAGGTCCTACTACACCCAGCATAGAGAAATCTTCTCTATGGATGGCCACACAATATTAAATTCTCTCATTCTAGAAACAGAAGCCTAAATTCACATTTCTATTTGTTGAATGCTACACTTAGATTTTCAGTAACCAGAGTTTTCTGGATGGTTCAACAAGTATCCTTATCATAATAATGCACATTGAATCATTTGTGCATTGTTCCAAAATTACTCCAAATGTGTTTTGTCTCAAAGTTTGTTCTTATAATTATTTGAGACCATGGCAGCTGCATTTTCCAGTCAGCCTATGCTGTCTTCCAGTTAGGTCAACATGGAACTCCTCATGTACATCTTTAGATGAAATCAACATTTTGTATGTCACTACAAACATCCAAAAATGTATAGTACAGTAATGTGCAAAACACTCAACTAAATTCAGCATGCAGCATCACCGTATATACATTTTCTCAAAGGGACTAAACGAGCTGGAAAATAGAATAAAGTAGCAATCAGGGAAATCATAGGCAGTTTGATCATGTGAGAATATGCCCACAGTGTAGACACATGCTGAAGTTTTCATAAAGTAATTTAGGCACAAATCCACTGAAATGGTTAATTCACATTGACTTCAACTACACACACACATTAGATCTAGGTATCTTTCAGAAATATGGACAGGCATTTTATTGAGCCTATTGACACTTAGGTCTATTAATGGTCAAGATGTTAAGGGTTACTGTATTTTGTTCTTGTTTAACTTTAGTATCTATCCCGGAAATTATTTAATATTTGCTTTTACATGGTTGCCCACCCTATGCTGCAGAATAGGGAAATGATATAAATGCATGAATTACATGCAGATATAACTGATTCCTTAATTTTGCACACACTGTTTCCACAGTTATATAAGCAG